TTTAGAGTACTGTATATTTAAATAAGAAGTATCATAATCACAGACTCTTAGTCTAGTAATGCTACCTTTGGAACCACAATTAAAATTTGAACGTAAAATGGAAAAGTTCTAATATTTAAATGAAAAAATTAGTCTTGTCTCCTTCATTTAATTGTAACAAACAAGCTTTCCTTAAAGAGTTCATTTTGTAGAGAAATATTTCTGTAATTACATGAAAATTGCAATGTTTAAATAAGAGCTGTCGTCAAGAGCATCATTTTAGAGAGGGAATACTCCTTTTGTTAAGTAACAATTGAAGAGCTTGCAGTATCTATTTCTGTCTCCTCCACTTCTAGCTTTCGACTCTGGAGATTCTTTTAATCTGAATGCTATTTTATGAGGTTGTACCCTCTTACTGTCGCAAATAATTTATAAGACAACTCGATTGTTTGGATGATAAAAACTAAGGGTGACACCTGAAGGAAACAAAAGAAAATTCTCCAGTCAAATGTTTTCACAATAATGGACGACATTTACTTCAAGTTCCTCCACGGCTATAGAAAACTTTTAACATTTAGGCAATTAAAACGACACATCAAAAAGAACTATAAACAAACAGATCGTCATAAATATCTCAGAAAAAAATTCCAGCATTGGCAAATATTATTGCTGTAAATGTATCACTCAGCGTTGGATTTATAGCTCGAAGTTACAAAACGCTGTCACATAATTAAATTCCTATTTTAATAAACTGGGGACTTAAGTAGGCATTCTTTCGTCTTTTAAAGACTTTTTATCATAAGATATATTAGTAAAACGCCACTAACATGTTAATCATTTTGAGATGTTAAGTCATTTATTTTAGCGAGCTTTTGTAAAAGTACATATTATTATTATTTCTATTTAAATATACATATTTATTTCTCGTTTTTTAAAAAGCTTTTAGATAAAAATGACTCGAAACATTTAATGGTGACTTTTGGATTGTAATCTTCATATCTCATCTTTAGAAAACATTTTATTATTCTGAAAGATCAGGGAATAATAAAATCTAGACCAGTATGACATTAAAACTTATTGTGGCACATAAATGAAAATCGGAATCAAATGGATTGACGAAAAATGAGAGTTAAATAGCATGATTTCGCAGTTGCTCAGATATTACATTATTAAAATAAGGAAGACACATCTTTCATTATCTGCAGTGATCAAACAAGATTGTCTTTCATTATTTGAGCCACGATAATACCGCCAAGAAATAATTGTTAAAATGCCATTTTCCAAAATATGCAAAAATCTGACGTGTGTTTTATTAAATGCTTTATTACTCCTTTTATGATTCAAATCACAAACTTAAATATCAAGTAATTATGAGGAGCTTGGGGCAAAGTAATGACAATCTACATTTTCAAAAGAGCGTTTATGGCTAAAGCACTCTAAAATTATCTGGATACCACTATTTATTTTGACTAAGTAATTCAATAATGATAACTTAGTAGTAGCTCATATTTGATTGTAGCTACAGCAACAATACTAATACTACACGCATCTAAACTTTTTATAAATAGTAATGACTAGAAATGAACATATGGTTTGTATTTATATAAAGCTTTTAACCAGGGCATTTCGCTTGATAATATTGATACACACAGTGGTTTCCAATTTTTTTCGGCTATGGAACCCTAAATGATGGAACTTCTTTTAGCGCAACTCCGAGACTACGATGATATTTCACAAGCAAATGTGAAAAATATTAATCATCTAAAGACCATAGTTTATTTCGTAAATATTTATTAAACTAAAATTTTAGTAATTACTTTGAAAATATATAATGAATAAATGAAACATTTTCATAGTGTAGTTTTTGACAGATCTAAAGTGTCATCTACACCGGTGTGCAAAACTTAAGCAACAAGTGGTTTCTCGGTCATAGCTCCAAAACAGAGTATAACATAGCCATGAAATTGCAGTATAATATTCCCGTAATTCAGTAGAAAGATTATTTGTATGCAAATTTTAGAAGTAAAACGTCGTAGGTGATGTAAGTGTACGTAAACCTTGTGGGTCGGCGCGCGCAGGTCAAAGCTGTGATAAAAGGATGAAGAGCACCGTAGTTAAATACATTCGCTGCAAGTGCAAGTGATTTGTTTTGTGAAACATGTCTTCAAGAAATCATTTAGACGACTTTACTCGAGGAAGAATGATTGGGAAGCTTGAGGAGGGGCGTAGTGTGACCAGTGTCGCCGAAGAGTTCGGGATCAACAAAAGTGTTGTTTCTCGTGCTTGGAATGCCTTTAAAACTACTTGTACAGCTGTTCGGAAGGTTGGTAGTGGCCGTCCAAGGAAAACAACACCAAGAGATGAACGTTACATTGTACTCCAGGCGAAAAGAAACCGTTTTCAGTCAGCGAGCGCCATATCCATATCTCAGCAACTGTGCACAGCCACAGGACAAGTATCAAGATTTACAGTGGCCTTACGCCTCCACAAAGTGGCTTATTTGCTAGACGTCCTGAACGCTGCATACCTTCAAAAGTTAGACATCGGCGGCACCGTTTAGAGTGGTGCAGAGAACACGAAACCTGGACACCTCATCAATGGAGTCGCGGCCTCTTCACAGACGAGAGTCGTTTTAGTGCTACAAGCGATTCTCAACGTCAGTTGATCTGGAGAGAGGTTGGAGCTCGATTTCATCCCAATAACATCGCGGAAAGAGATCGTTACGGTGGTCCTGGAGTTGTCATCTGGGGTGGCATTATGTTGAACGGGCGGACTGAGCTTCAGATCTTCGACCGAGGTTCTGTGACTGGAGACCGCTACTGCAATGAGGTAATCCTACCCCATGTGCGTCTGTTCCGAGGGGCCATTGGACCAGACTTCATTTTTATGGATGACAATGCCCGGCCACACCGTACTGCTAATGTTCAAGAGCTACTGGAAAGTGAAGATATCACACGAATGGATTGGCCAGCTTACTCTCCAGATCTAAATCCCATAGAGCATGTGTGGGATGCATTAGGGAGACGTCTTGCGAAGATCAATATTAACTCACTAATGGAAAATTAGATATAAATTTTATGACAGGACTTAGTAACTGATAATGTTGTCCTAACTTTCGGAACCCTTGTGACCTTTCCACGGAACCCTGGCTTCCTTATCTAAGATCTCGATCTCTCAAAGTTACCAAAAAGATATTTTTGCACTTTTCTTATGATTGCCCTGTCATTACTATTTTAACTTTAACCCTCTGATACTTTTTTTCAGTGAGCGATTCATTCATATTTCATATATCATTAATACATTTTTAAAGTCCCGTTTGATGACCATTACTTTTGAGCGAAAATACTTTTTTTATGGAAGTTGTTTTTATTCAATAATACATTTTATGGTATAAATTACAATGGTAATGGAAAAAAAATATTTAGACCAAAAAAGTGTGTTGGGGGGGAATATCAGACATATATCTAAAAATGTTATCCAAGTGAAGATAAAATTGTTTAAATAATGACATTTTTAAAAGTTAATAATTTCAAAAAAAAATTTAATATAATTTTTTTTTAAATTTTTTTTTTAATGTATGTAAAGGTCATATAATATTTAAATAAAAATATCAATGGATTTCTTACACAGACTCCTAAAGCAGTCTAACATGATTAAAGCATGTCTTAAAACATGTTTTAATCCTTTTGTAGATTGTCCAAAACGTGGTTGTTGAAACTTCCAATTCTGCTGATAATGAGGAGTTTATGAATTATTTATATTCATTGATACTCACACTATCTTAAAATGCAAAATTTTTATCAGCATTTTTTGAATTTTATTCATTCTAGTTATTTGTTATTTAATGATTCAAATAGGAATCAGTTCTGTCTCTAAATTTGTTTCAATAATTCCCCTAAACATTAATTTATGTGGCCTTTTACATGCCTTTAAAAATGTTATTTTGTTTGATAAAATTGTCTCTATCCCTTTTTTTTAGGTAGAACATGCTTTGTTATAAAATGTCCAATGACTAGCCATTAAAGATATATGAACTTTGTTAACAAAAGCATTGATGCATCCAAAAGTCATAATTTTTTTCGACTATAAACAAAGTATTCTTGCATACTTCATTATTACTTGAAGAAAACTTTTTTTAAATTTGAGGAATACTCTGGAAACAAACTGGTATGCATATTAATTCTAACATTTGCTGAAATGTACAAGTAGTGCTAGACAAAAGAATTTAAAAAATGTTGGTAGATATTATTTTTACTAAGTTTGTGGTACATTCAAATTTCTAAACTCTCAAAAAATTGTAAAACATTTAAATGTAACGTATAAACGCAAATTGATAATTTTGCTATTTATAAAATTGAAATCATTAAACATACAGAGATGTAAATATTCCAAGAACTAATGTTCTATTTCCACTAAGAAATGAAAAATTTAAATCTATTGGTATGTTTTTTACAATTTTCACCGCAGATTGTTCTAAATTTTTCTTCCTTCACGCAATATTATTTTTGCCATGAAACACCTCAAAAATCAATTAAGAGCAAGATTTGAAGACTGGGTAAAAGTAACAAAAAATATATATTGGGAAAGAAACGGGAGATTTTACAATATTTAAATTGCTTTATTAACAAATAATTCAAACTGGATGATTACCAAAATCATAATGTGTGAAAATTATAGTAAATTTTGAAAATTAATAAAACAATCTATTGAAATTTTTTTTTCAGCGTTCATAAAAACTTAGTAGCGCTGCCATGCCACAAGCGCCGGATTCTATTTTCCGTCCAGGCGAAGCGTTTCATCCCTTTTGTGGGTCGTAGAATGAGCATCCTTGGGGACTAAACACGTTTTGCGTTCGACTGACCATCTAACCGGAACATCTCCAGCACCCCAGAGCCCAAGATCAAGTAAACTGTGACAGGGCACAGTTGGCCTAGGCCCTCCATGGGCTTTCGCTCCTCTGAGTTTACTTCATGAAAAAGTCTTAAAAGTCTTTTGTTTAAAGAAATTAATCAAAAACTTACCTGTATAGTGAAACTACCACCAGGAACTGGATTTCCACCAAACTTCACATTAATTGTATAATCTCCCTTTTCTTTTACAGAATAAAATATCGAAAATGTTCCATCACTGTTGTCTTCCACGTGAATGTCAACGTCCCCTGATATGTTACTGCTCGTAATATTACAAGTAATGGCACCCATACCAGCTTGTTCTGTGTTTACAGTGATGCAATATTCTTCACCGATCGAAACTTTGTCTTCAATGCCTTCTGTTCAAAGAAATAGTGTGGGTTTAAAAGTTTGCCTCCTTCAATGCTGAATAGTTTAAAAGAGAGAAAAATTCTCACAAACCTGTTATTTTGCATTTATCAGCTTGGCCAACAGCGTAACTATTTACTGTAATGGGTGAGTTTGGCACTTCTTGACCACCGTATTTAACAGAAATTTTATGAGGTCCAACGTCTTCAGGAACGTAACGCACTTTGTAGGTGCCATCATTATTATTAATTACTTGTGCTTTCAAAGGCTTGTTGTCTGGTTTCTGAAAGAGTAAATGATATCATTAGGAATCTAAGACTAATTTTTAAAAAACATATAAGTAGTATTGTTAAATAGTATTAAGAAAGGATATTAACGGAATTTATTATTGAAAAATTTGCTAGGTTCATTTAAATACATAATAAAAAATGACAAGAGAAAAGTATTATGTTTTATTCATGCTAGATAAAAATACATTTTTTAAGCAGCATATGATAATTATTTGATAAAAAATTAAGAAAAGTTCATAACAATCAACAATTTACCTGGTAAGTGAAGAAAAAAATTAAATATCTAAAAAATTTGCATCCAACTTAAGAAATTAACTTACATTTTCAGCGATCGTTAAATTTAATGCCTGAACAAATTAAATAAAGAATTTACGTCTAAATAATTAAAAATGTCTATGGTTTATTTTACTAGTCTTAATTTAAATTTTTATGCCAAAAGTAACCGAATAAAGTAATGAAAATATTGGGAAATTCTGAATATTTGTGTTTATTAAATAAAGATTCAAACTCTTCCACATCTATTACAAAAGTCATAGAAATCATTTTAAGATTAATTATACTTTTTCATTAACATATTGAACTCAATAGTCTATTGATTATAAATTTGGAAAGGTAAAGAATAAAAAATCACAAATTTCTTAATAAAAATGCTTATTTAATTGAAAAAACATTTCAAAACTTTTTTTTACAAAACATTTTACAGCTCAACTTTTTACAGTAAAAGCCACTATTCCATAGAATTTTATGATTCGAGATTTGCGCTACATGAATAAAAACTTTCAATGTCCTTTTAAGCTATTTAAACCTGTAACAATTAAGACTATTTAGGCAAATATACATAAAAACTTTTCTATCAAACATTGCTTTAAAAAAAATATTTAACCAAATCTAATTGCAGATCTAATCGCAGTTTGGGATTGACAATAAGGGGTAAAAAAGTAGGAAATGGAAGAATAAAAAACATTTCATGAAGCTTTTAGGATTTTAAATGGTTTTGTTACTTGAAGCCATTCTTATAATAAAGCTATAGTTGCTTACCTTTATGTCAACTACAGGTTCTGCCTGTCCTGCTTCTCTAGTATCAATTGTAAATTCAACAGGAAGACTAGCTGGAACCTTGTTTTGTACACCAGGTCCAGAAAGCTTTACATTTTTGGGTTCAACTGCTGGTTTAACTTTCATTTGGAATGGACTGAAAGAGAGAAGGAAAACGTGTGATTAAATAGGGAAATCAATTTATTAAATGAAATTACTCATGTTTGCGCTCACATCTTCCACATGATAATCATTATGTTAGACAATACATTTAGAATCTCTTTCTAACCATTTAAAACTCAAAAGATGAATTGCATCTATTAAATAAAATAGCTGAACATATTTGTAACCATAGAAGTACTGAATTTTTGTTTCATAGTTGTAGAAAAAATATAAATACATAAGAACACTAAAATGAAACCATGAATACTCAGATTATGAAAATGTAAAAAAGTAATTGGTTTAAAGAAAAACGAATTTAAAATTTTCTTAGAAAATCATTAGAACCAAAATCTTGATAACTTTAAATAATTTCCATGACCATAAAAACTTTACATAACAAACAGGAACATAACATTTATTTCCTAAAATTGTAATGATTCACAATGGCTATTCAGTAATTCTTATGTTAAAAATCAACGTGTGTATTTGGCTAATATGAAATTTACAAGAATAATATAAACAATTATATTAAACAGAGATAATTTAAAATGAACCATTAAAAAGAATTGTAAATAATATAAACCAAATGCACAAATGACAAAATGTCAACACTACATTTTAAACAATTATGTAATATTTTAAATATACCTTCCAGGAATATCTTTACCACCATACGCAACTTTGACATTGCATTTGCTACCCTCAGGAGGAGGTACATAAGATACATCATAAGTACCGTTGCCGTTATCCTTAATTTGAGGTTTTGTAGGAACGGGTCCTATTTAAGAAATTCCATAGTTAAAGTGACATCTTAATGCTTAAAACTACAAATTTAAAATACCTTTATTCATTTTTTAAAACATCATTATTACACAAATAATGAATAATGATAAAACATTAAAAATGTAAGCATTACAAAATATATTTAACTTTTTTTTTAATTATATAAATCATCGTATTTACTGACTTCAAGCTTTAGCATTAAAGTAAGATGATGCAGCGCACATTCAATGACTCTATGAAAAGTTTATTAATGTTTGAAGTCTGGCATTCCATAGAATGTATAGTCATTAAATTCCTACTTCTCTAATAAAAGTAAAGGTATGTTTAAAACAAAATATCTCGAAAATAAACACTTTTATAGCATAAATATATACTTAAAATATACACCACTGCATATAAAAAACACATCTGTTGAAAGCTTAGTAGTTAAAAAGTTGTTTTAAGAAAGACATGCCAATAACAGAAGAAAAAAAGATCTTTAAACATTTTAATATTTATTTATGCCCACACATTTCTTGTATAAAAAAAGGTTGAAATGTAATATCGAAATTTAATTAAACGATTGAATTTCTAGAATTGCAGATTAATAAAATAACAAATGATTTTGAGCAAATTAAAATGTATGTTTTGATAAACTCATTTTTTTACGTTATGTATATAAATTAATTCTATTTATAACTATGATTTAATGTAGTTTTGATAGACTTATGAGAAAAAAAATACTTGCAAACTACAACAATGAAATAGAATAATTCTATTTTAATAATATGGCAACTAATTCCATAACATAAGAGTTTCAACAAGTTCATTTCAAAATTTCTTGTGAAAATAAGAATTCTCAAACAAAATTAAAATAAATTAAAATTTACGGTCATATTAAGGTTACATTAAGGTATCATTTATATTCAAAATAACAAAAACGAAATTTAATGTAGCCCCAAGTAAAAACTTTACTTTTGCGTAAATATTTTATTTTTGGTATAATATAAGATTCTTATGTAATGAAACAAACACTTTCAATTTTGAATACTCTTTAAAATTTATACAGTATAAAAAAAAGAAAATGTTTTCAAAATTAGCATAAACCATTTAAGTAAGAAAAGGAATTTAAAAAATATGGAAGATTTCAAGAAAAATCACCTTTTTCTGAAGATACTTGAACATCGAGTGGTGCCTTTCCAGATTTTGTAGCATCAACTGTGAAAGGAATTGGTTTACCTGCACGACACTGGTTAGGTTCGACACCAGGTCCATACGCTTTCACTTTACTGGCATCAACACTGGCAGTGCAATTCACTTTGAATGGACTTCCTACAAATAAGAAATTCAAAATAAGTACTCTACAAAACTATACATTAGAAGCAATGAGAAATAAATACAACACATTGTTTGACAATTAGATTTTTTCATATGAAGTAAATAAGGTTTTCTTCTTATTGCTATAACAAAATCATGAACATAGAGTAAATAAAAAAAAAACTAATGTTTCCCTAAAAAACTGTGGGATACACTAAATAATTAAAATAGAAGAGAATTCATTATATTGCAGAGGAAAGAAAAAAGGATGAAAAACGTCTATCCTCTTAAATTAAATTCTTAAGCATTCAAAATGCGATTAAGTTATTACTTCTTGACATTTGAATTTTAACATTGGTTGACATGCATTACAGTAAAAATTGTACATTTTCTTTTAGTAAGGAACTAAATCATAAATGAATTTTTTAACGACTTTTTTTCTTTAAAAATATACAGTTGCTGTGATTCAATCGAAGATCCATTAAAAGTTCTATCAATAAAAGCATTGCATCGTGTAATTTTTTAACAACAATTCAAAAAATGCTTTTCCTTTTTTAAGTGTAAAATTGTTTTTGTTTTCTTTTTGTGTTCTTATGATTAAAAATTTTTTTCCGCAATGGATTACCAAAAAATATATAATTTTTTAATTAATATAGAAATAAAACTTATATATAATAACTTTCAATAGAAATGAGATTTAAAATAATTATACTAAATGTTAAAATTACATTTTTTTCAAAACTAATTAAAATAATCAAAATTACTTTTATAATAATTAAGATTAATTAAATTGCAATACATAATTTTCAAGTATAAAAATTCGAGAAGTATTAAAATTTCAAAAAAATGAATCGTTTATGTATCACTACTCTTAGAAGTATAATCAGCAAAAAAAAAAAAAAAAAAAAAAAAAAAAAAAAAAAAAAAAAAAAAAAAACATTTATTTCAGAAGAAAAAAAAATTATGTTAAATAAGTTTTATTATTAATTAAAATTTTATTCAGAGAATAATTTCTGACCCGAAAATACATTTACTAATGAAAGACATTTGTTAAAATACCTTTATTTGCATGACTTAGCAATAAGTGTGTACTTTGAGAACTGGTATATACCTCAAGTTACTTTAGTTACATGCATACAAATAAAGTACAGCACTAAAAACTATCAACTACAAACAGAAAAATTTTAATGAAAATAAGCAAAAGTCAACTCTTGCATCTCTTTTTATTATTATTTAATTGTACAGTACCTGGAATATCCTGATCAGCATATTTAACACCGATTTCATGGGGTCCAATCTCAACTGGGATATACTCCACAGTGCAAGAACCATCTCTATTATCTTTGCAAGTCATTTTGGGTTCAACAGGTCCAACAATCATCAAACCTAATGCCCCTCTACCAGCTCCTTTCGTTTCAATAGTAAAGGAATTCACCTAGATATACAGAAATAGATATTTTTGAATGAAATCCTCCTTCGAGTTCATTAAACTATAGGCAACTCATTTAAATTTACCTGATTGACTATGGCTTGCTCTAGACCAGGACCAAATGCTTTCACTTTTCTAGGATCACAACCTCTCAACACATTTACTTTGAAAGGACTTCCCGGAACTGGTAATCCATCGTATGTTATATCAATTGTATGATTACCTATAAAATACAATGCAAATTATTAAATCTAGCAGGAAGTGAGATTTTTTTAAATTTAAAAAAAATTTACATTCGAAAAAAAGCATTTTTATTTTATTATTTTTTTTTAATTCTAATTTAGTGTCTGAAACGTACTAGGACTATGACAGAAGATCAACATTTTGATTAGATATTAGGGAACTGGAAATGATTGAAACGTGTTGTCACAGTGAATGCTATGTTAGTGTAATGTTACAACTACTCATTTATTTAAATCTTTCCATCGTATTATTTCAAATCTTTATTTACTCTTAATTTCATAACAGATTTAATTTATTATTTGTGAAATTTAAACGATTTTTTCTTAATAATGGAGCGACGAAGACCAAAAAGAGGTTGGTCTTTCTCACCCCAAGAATTTCTTGGGGTGAGAAAGACAGAATTTCGCATCCCATTATAACAAAGAAAAGCATATAAAGAGTTAAAATTCTTTTCTAAAAGATAAGTAAATTCCCTTAAAAATTTGAAAATTTGCATATAATAAATTAAAACTATTATGAAATTAAGGGTATATAAAAATTTAAAATAATTATATGGAAAGATTTAAATAAATGAGTTAATATAACATAGTACTAAAGTGCAACTGTGACACTTGTACTGCCATTCAGCACAAAACTCCTACCCAAATTTGATAACTCTAGCTAGTCAAAGTTGAAAAATTTTTGCCCCTCACAAACAGATACGAAAATGAGTAAGTAATAATAAAAGTAGAAATAGGTAAGAAATGATAAAATACTCTAAATGAATTTATTTGGTTTAAATGTAAAGTTCTAATTTTTTTATTTTATTTTATAACCGGTATTGAACAGCCGACCCAATTATGAGTTTCAAACTATCATCAGCGTTCAATTCAGCCGCCTTGTAATTTTGAGCGCAACCCAAAAGACAAAGGAACTCTTGGACCAAGCACTGGGAGAACCTAGCCTTTGTGGAGGACTTTTTGATAAACCATTTTTGCATTACTCGCAGAAAAAAACCACAACAACCTCCCATGGTTAGAGGGACAGTACGAGAATTCTAAACCATGATCTGTCTACCACTGAGAATATTTTTCATCAGCATTGTGATCGGTGTAAGGCCGAGAGCGAAATTTGTATCAACCAGCCACCCCTAGGATTCGAATTTGAGTCACCTAACTGGTAGGCGAAGGCTATCTTCTGAGTCATCCTGGCTCAGGAGATAAAGACATAAGAGTTGGATATACTGCACTACATAGACAACTTTATCTACTCAAGGTAGTGAAAACAAACAGAACTAACCTGAATCTGATGAATAACAGTAGATTTAAAAAAAAGATAAAAGAAAACACTTTGGTGGCTCTGTGCTTATGAAATACCTGATCAAAACATCTTATTAAACACCTGACGGATGATTTACGCTACTTACCTTAGCAACGGTGAATCATCTAAGAATTGAAATAAAATTATGCGAAATAAAATTAATAAAAAATTAGACTTAAAAAGCATTTTTGAAGGTAACTAATACTGATTCTTTTAAACAATATTTTTCATAACATTTTATTACAATACTGATTTCCCATTTTCTCCCAATTTTTTTAGAACAGTGATTTCCCTTCGACTTTTGAAAGAAACAATTTTGGCTGAAAAAAGTACAAAAACTTTTGATAGTTTTGAATTCGATCGAAAGCATTATGATGAAAGAAGTTACTGTAGGAAAAAGAATCATTTGCAGATTGTTTGCTAATTAGACAGACAGAGCTCAAAGTTCAAAGATTTCAGATTTTTTTTCCCTAGAGTATTCCTCACGGAAAAAAATTGATTATAAAATTGAAAGCAAGCATTAATTTCTTACTTATTGGAAAGGAAGAGGAGGAAAAAATTATCATCATTTTTTTTGGTTAATTTAAAAAAAATTCAAAATAAACAAAGATCACAAATGTCTGATCTAAGAATATCTAAACACGTACATACCTTCTTCAAAAGGAGTATAACATATTTTATAGGTCCCATCATTTTGACTTTGAACAAAAGCATCAGTTTTAGTACCAGATGGATTTGTTATTTTACATTGAACTTTTGCCTCACTTCGCTTTGACACAGCACGAGCATCAACTGTAAATTCTGTTGGTGAATCGATGTACACACCTAAAATGCATTTTTTATCATGATTAGTAACAAATCTCAGGAGATATTTTAGGATTAGAAAAAGAATTATTTTAACTTAAATAAATGAAATTGTGTTAACAACTAAAATGTACCCGAGCCTTAACAAAATACAGTTTCTATCAAATCTAATTACTTTTTTTGCAAAATATATTTAAAAAAGCTATTTTTCAAAATAATAATTAGACAAGATATCAAAGAATATGTATGGTTCAGTTTACAATTCTCACCATTGAATATTTCTATAATTTTAAAATATTTTTTGTTCAAAATTAAAATGTCAATGTTTGCATAAAATAAAATATCAATACATTTGAATGCTGAATAAAATTATATTTTGCTTTCAAATTAATAATCCCTTTTAAGACTACTAAGAAATCAACTCGCTATTAATATGGCAGGATTTTAGTAATAGGGATGAATAAATCAATAAAGAGAAACTCTTTTAAACAATCATTGAAACAAAAACTTGAACAAAAGAACAAATTGAGGGAGGAAAAGTTTAATATTACGAAAGGTATGGGAACAGCCCAAATATTTTTTTTAAAATACTGTATAAAATAATATTACTGGAAATCAAAGCAGTGAATAAGAAACTAGTATTCACTCTACAAGATAATTTTTAAAAAATCTCATGGACTAACTGAATTCAGAGACTTTTTGAAGAAGTAGTACTTTAATTCAAGTTTAAAGAAGTTAGAGATAGTAACAGGATTTTTTTCGTTATATCACAGAAAAAAATTATTTCATTACAGTAGTTAAGATTTGTGTACTATTTAGAGTAGAACATTATACTGTAGTAAAGTTTCAATACACAAGAGTAATATACAGTCATGTTAATGCACTTTTATCTAATCAAGACAAATTTTTAAGAGTTGAGAATAGAAAGAAAAAAAATAAATTCTTTATTTCTTAAAATTCAAAAAGGTTTTTTTCAATAAGATATACACATCTTTTACTAATAGCCAATAAAGAATAGCAAAATACAAGAAAATATCCAAAAGAAAACTTGCCTAAAAGCAAAATACAAGAAAAATTCACTAACTTTCTTCAACTTTGCATTTAGTGGTAATAAATCAAGATAAATCAAGTAGCATGAATCAATATGCTTAATAATCTAACATTGACAACATATTCAAAGAAACTAAAAATTCCACTTTAAAAAGTGTTTTTAAATAATTTCAATTTCTGAAAAGGTAGACTATCATTGTGATTTCAAAGCAAAATTAAAGAAAGAAAAAAAGAATGCTTTGAATTTTCAAGACTTTCTTTTAGAAAATTATTTTTAAATATAGAGGAAATGTGCATAGCAAAGAGACAAAACAATCATCGGACGTAGAAATTCCTTTTATATAATTACAAGTAGAAGTCTGATTCAACGTCACCCGTCAATAGAGATATCCCACTTTTAACGTCTTTTCAGCTTAGTTCCCCTACTGACCCGCATCAATAATGTAAAAATATTCTAGTATTTAGAGTGTCCTTCCTCCAATACTATATTTCCCTGAAGTACTGTTTCAGCTTGGACAGTACCTCCTGGAAAAAAGCTTCCAAAGACTGCATCGTGACTGGTATCAGAAAATGTAATTTTTCATCAGTTCTGACAGACACTGGATATTTCAGAACATGATGTCAAATACTGACAGAATGAAAATTTCAAGAGTGATGAAGAAGACTGTGAATCTCCTCTTTTAATGAAGCAAGACTGAAAAGTTTCTTCAAAGACGTGAAGAGAAATGTCTTGGATCGTAGAAAAATTAATTGTGTACTTCAAGACGCAATGAGAATAACTTCAAGACCAAGGAAAAAATGTCCGATTTTTTTTATTAATACAATTTCAGTTTTTTTTTTCTCTTTACTAAATAAATTACATTCAAATTTCAAACTGTATTTAAGAATTAAACAAAATATAATTAAATTTATTTTCATTAAAATTTTAGTTTTCATGGGATTTTTCATAGCTTTGATTTAGCAACGTCCCATTATTTTCTTCATTTTTGCTCAGTCCCACGAGTGTCGTTAAATCAAGGTTCTACTGTATATTTAATATTGGGTAAAATCTAATGTAAATACTTTGAGGAATAAATTTTTATAACTATAAATGGATTCATTTCAGTCCAGTTAAAAATAGCTTCTGCCATTCTTTTATAATGTAAGAATTAGGGTACATATAATAGAATAGCATAACTTAGTAGAACCAATGAGAAATTCAAAAAATTTTATTAATACAAAAGAAAAAAAATAACAAACAAGTAAGAATTTTTCCAAGCACATTGAAATGTACTAAAGGTTGAATTTAAAAAACTACTAAAATGAATGAAGGTTGAAAATAAAAGTTCGTTAAGCAGATAGCTACATCTGGAATTATATAGCAAATAAAATCTCTGCAGCCAACACGTAAAATAAGCTTTAATCACTCTCTAGTAAAATTAAGATATTTGCATGCAGTTCAATTAATATTCACAATTGTTTTAAGACTAAATTAGAAAAATAATTCATAATAAGCCAGGCTATTTAGGCAATATCATGCATATTAAGAGCCTGGCCAGGGGATGAATAATCATACCCTGGGGCTGTATGCCATTTCCCAGCACTCTGATGTTCCAAACATCCACGTCTGAAGTGATGAGAGCCACAAATGGAGATCCTTGTATGTGATGGCGGTCGTAGGCAATATTGATTAGGTACTCCCCAACTTCAGTTGGAAAGTAAGCTACATTGCAAGTCCCATCACCATTGTCTTTGCAGTTAATAGCTGCTTCACAAGGACCTTCAATAGTTATTCCTAAACTACCATGTCCCGCTCCTCTCGTATCAACGACAAATTCAGCAGGCCTGTTCACTAATCCTTGGTCTAAGCCAGGACCGTAGGCCTCAACTCTGTTCGAATCGGCGTTTGACATGCACATCAAGCGATAAGGCACAGGAGTCAGTGGTATGCCTCCAAAGGAAATACTAAGTAAATAATGTCCAAGTTCTGTGGGAGTGAAGTTGACCAAAAACCCCTCAGCTGTGGGAATGATGTGGGCTTTCACTCGGCGACCCGATGGACTCGTTATGGAAACAGCAAAGTCAGCCTGATTGCAGCCAGCACCTTTGGTAATCACTCTGAATTGTTGCAGAGAATTGATTGGGGCTGCTGATTGGGCGAGAGTGGATCAGGCCAGAAGTCATCTTCAAGACTAAATTTAATACACTATGGTAGTATGCAGGGTTATGTTTATATATATATACATGCCATCTTTCAGTTAGGAAATGAAACTTATAACAAATGTAAATTCAAACCAATTTTTTTGTAACAAGTTGGAGTGAGCAATTTTTGATTTTTATCCTTTTAACATGCAAGAGCAAAAACAAGGATTCCTTTAAGGTTTTAGTTTTAATACAGTGAACTTCATTTTTCAAAACGTGCAAAATTATAACGATGCAATGTAACTTCATACACATGTAGCGTGAGATGAAAATAAATTCAACAAAGTAATACATAGCAGCATAATATATGCGCATTTTAATATCAAAAATTTTTTAATTTTGAGTTGTAGGACTTAATTTTTAATTTAAAAATAATGAAATCTGTTTTAATATGAGAATTGTAATAATAATAATATTGACAATTTCCTGAATTTTGAATGGACTTTAAAATACAGCAAAAAATTATTGAATCTTTTGATTTACTTTTATTATAATACAAAGCTGATCGAGATTTTATTAATAACATTTAAGTAGAGATGGTAAAACATAAATAAGTTTTGATGACTTTTAAGATTTCTCAAGGCAGATAATGAAAGAAATTACTTAGTTATTTTGCTATAATCAGCGATTAATTTCAAGGAAACAATAAAATAAAGCTACAACATGCCAAATATTTAAGATAAATATGTTGGGATTGTTCTCTTTGTATCGTTTAATAAAATGCATAATCTATTACAGCTAGTTTTTATATTTCAGCCATATACACTTATAAAAATACAGAACTTAATTTCACAAAAAACGCAAACATTGTTTCAGAAAATAAAGGATTATTTAAAACTTCACTTTTATTGTGGTAGATGAAAATACCATTGCAACCCAATTTTAATCAATTGATGTAAGAGAACAGTTTGTATTTTTCCGGAAGTGATGATAATTAAATAAGGTGAAATTTCAATAATTTTTGCTTCATAAAGATAAACAGCATTAATGTTGTTGATGTTTCTCTAAAATAATTATTTCAGAGAAGCATCAACAACATTAATGCAGTTTATCTTTCTGAAATTTCTGTCAAAACGTGATTGCATGCGACCTAAATGTATGAATTTTCTGCTTCCACAAAAATTGTATGTGAACTAATTTAAAAAGAGGAGCTAACTTTTTAAGGACAAGATTGTATTTTACGATTTGCAGTCATATTCCACAACAAGTATTTAAAGAGATAATTTTTATGCCTGGATGAAAAATTAATCAATAACCAATATGTTGAAGAAAAACGTCATAAAAAAGGCCTTTTTACAAAAACTGTTTGCTAAATTTGAACATTTGGATAGCATCTGGAAGAGTGAGGAACTTGCAAATTATTACAGTTGAATAATTATAAAAATTGAAAATTTAAAAAGATAAAGAGAAAATATATTCCCAGTAAAGTTTTCTACAAAATTTTAAGTATTTAAGAGTATAAGTCGTTAAAGAATAAAATGAAATAAAATAGAACAAAATGCGGAGAAACCCTTTAAAAAACAGTGTTAGTTTTTTTCTCTTTTTTCCACAACTGATTGAAAAGAACAATGCACAAAATGAACATTCCAAGCTCTAATAATATTTAAAAAAGTTATAATGTTACATTGTTTTTGATTCTGAAAATATTTTTAACCTTTTTTAAATAGTCATAACAAGTTACATTTTATATAAACACAATATATATAAGTTATGCATATAATTAAATTGAACATAGAAAGCATTAAGTAAAGTTATAATTTATGGAACTAACAATTGCAACCTATAAAAAAGATAATGAAAAATTGACTGAAAAATCATCTTATTTTTCAATATTTAAATTTAAATCCTTAGCAATAAGCAAGCATTCCCGAGAAAAGACTTTTAAAGTTTAATATATTACATTGAATAAAACTATACTTGAAAATTACAAATTGTGTATTGACAAGTATGTGAAAACAAAAATTCATTTGTAATAATTAATAATAATTTGTTGATTGAATATAATTTTAATAGACAGGAATATGAAAAAAAGAAAAATATTTGACTACTTAAGCCCTAAAAAATAAAGTGACGCTTAATTTTATTAAGATATGTAAAGTATGCTATAAAATTTCAGTTATAAAATTTATCTTAATTGATTGTTAAAATACATAAAAATTATCATAAAAATAAGAACTTTTTTACGAAAAGGTATACTGTTTAAACCGTGTACTTTTCAATGAAATCATTTATTGACAAATATATTGAAGCTAAGTATAGCGATTTATTTCATGCTAGGAAGAAACGCAGCATAGCTCATTTAGAATTCATACATTTTCTTTTTACCATAATAACACATAAGAGTAAAAAATAATTCTGTGATAACTATGTGAATAATTCTCAGTTAAATTTGAACAAAAGTAATAAAAAGAAAGAAAATTTTCAAAAATATAAACATATTGTGTATAAACTATATAGACAAGAAAATTGCTGAGTAAAATATGTTTAGTATAAAAGTAAAACTTGACTATTGGAATTCCAATTATTTTTAAGTATTTTTCACTATTTATAGATATATGATGATAGATGATAGTCCATAACAATAAAATAATGATAGATGTTGAGTCCATAAATTTTGATAGAGAATTGGATTAAATGTCAATAACACTTTACAAGAACCAGAATCAGCCATATTCTCAAATTAACAAAACCAATTTTATTATAAAAAGCTAAAGAGCAAGAAAAGGTAGAAACTTACTGGATGTTTCAGTTTCACGAGAAATTTGAAGAAGCTTTGATTTAGGGGTGGGGGGATTTGAAAAATTTTTACCAGATGGCATTTTATGTAAGTGATTAGTTTTTAAATTATTTATAATATTTTTTTAAAAATAAAATGCCAGAAACCAATAACCTTTGACAATTAAACTATTTTTCTAAATATTTAGGTGCTTTCTTTGTTAAATTTCATTATTATAGAGATAAAATTGGTAATTAAGTCCTTTTAACTAGTTATTTTTTCAATTTTGATAATTTTAGTACAAATAATTTGGTGTTAATAGCTTTTGATAATAAATGATACGCAACAGAATTATGCAGAAACATTTTGTTGTACTCTTCTAAGAAAAAAGGTTCACAGCTTATAGAAATTATTAGATATAAGCAATAGTGTTTTGCTAACAAATATGTCTACAGTATAAGCTGTAATAGTCTTTGGCAAAAATAAATAAATTAAAAAAGCTTCAATAAAGAATGTTATTTACTTATTTTCCATTTTATGCGACAAAACAAAAGATAAAGTATTAATTTTTAAAAAAATTGAGTGCATCTGGAACAATAAATCAAGCCAAGCTCAATACATATAAAAGTCAAGCATATATAGAAAGATTTATTTAAAAAAATGATATAGAAGCATGCTTATTAAAGTAATAATGCAAAAGCCTGAATAGGAGGAAACATATCAAAGGAACTATTTCACTTACATTTACAACAGCTATGCACAAAATGAGAAAAAGTAAAATTATGACAGAATACAACACAATACACAATAAAAATAATTTTCTGAACATGAAATAACTTAAGATGAAAAGAAATAATCATATAATTTTTTCATTATTTTTTTCATTTTTTCTAGAAAAAGTTATAGAATCCTGAATAATTGATGTTAGCAAATTTTTAACTTTAAATTGGGATTAACTTTAATTTAAATAATGAAAGAAATATAACTGATTATTTTTGAAACTGAAAAGTTAAATTTCAAATAGTTTCGTAAAAAGCAGTAAGAAGTAAACTTAAAAAAAACTTATTTTAAAAGTTTGTTGAAAACTTTGGTGCAGTATTGAGTATGATAGCAACATGTGCTTTTTTTATAGGTTGCTCAAAATTAGACTTCAAATATTAAATATATTCATACTTTTTCAAAAGCTTAATCTTAAATCAAATCATTAAAGGTTTTCGTTTTTTTTATTTACGGATTAAAACCGTACTATTATGGTATTATGTGTTTTGAAAAATTATTTACTTCATTATAGCAATTTAAATGGTGAATTTTTTTAATTACTGATTAATCAATAAAACGTTTTAAAATACTATATGCATTTAGTTTTAATTTGCACATTTAGCTTCAAAATATATACAAAATTTGTGAAATTATCCAAAACTAATGATATTTACTATAATTCTCTCTAAGCTTAATTGTGCCTGATTTGGATTTAAAATAGCACTTAGCGCTTGTTTTGTTAAGTGCAGTTCAGAAATGTACTAAGTTTCAAATATTTGGTACAATAGATATGCACAATTACATTAGACGAAAAAACAATTTTTGCAATTTTCAGTTCTTCTAATCTTAAATTATATTGAAATAAAGTTTTTGTATTGAAAACAACATATACATATCTAAAGCATTCTACTCTCGCTCTTATTTGCATTAAATTATTCATAATATATATTTCTTACTTAAGAAAAGTTTTTATAAATTTATAAAAATGCAAATTCCAGAAGCAATCATAAACAATTGACATTAGCATTTAAAAATATTTCAACTCTTTATAAGGATTAACAAATATTTTTATACAAGATAATTTTTAAAACTTAAAATTAGATTTGAATTTTAATCTTCTGAAAGCTCATGTTTGAAAACTGATTTTAGCCATGTTAAGGTCAAATAATGAAAACTAAACATCATTACGAACAAAAGATGCTAAAGTAAACATCAATATTTTTAGCAGTTATTTTTCAATAAGCTTTTATGATATTGAATTAAAATTAATATTAAGAGACGCAGGAGAAAATTCACTTTACACAAATGATTTTTATGATCTATAAAATGAAAGCTTAGGATTATTTTTTTGGTTCAACTATTTTTTGATGAATGAAATAAATGAATTTCTTATTTAGATACAGATGCACAATTAGTTTTAACTTCGTTGAAATCAAATTTCGCAAAATATAAATAAATAAATCGATAAAAAGCACACACTAAATAATTAAATTTTTTGCCCTTCAAACATTTTACTTATATTCTCTCTTTAATCCAAATAAAAATTTCTAACATTTTTTTTTAGAATCAATTGGACCTAAATGACTCATTATTAAGAAAGCCTCTTAGCCTCAGCCCAATCGAATAGGAAATTAAAATATTCTGATTGCCTATTTTTCCAAAAAAGATTAGTAAAAATAGGATTTTTTTAATTAATAATTACCCAAAATTGAGTATTAGCAAGAATTTGTACTTTTTAAGCAGAAATTGTTTTATTAAAAAATATTTACTTGGTTCCAGTCCATCAACTTTAACCTTACTGACATCAACTTGTGGTTCAACTTTCACTTTTATTGGACTGTTAGGAATTTCCTTTCCAGCAAATGAAACAGACACCTATATGCATTCAAAGTAAGATAGAGTATATTTAAATGTTAATCATTAATATATATGTGTTCTTTTTCGAAAACTAATAATATTCACCTTCTATATATGTAATTAGAAGCTTCATTTATGCTAATTAATTCAATGAATTAAAATAAAAATCAATATGTTTGAACTTAGTTTCTAAACTTTTACAATTTTTGAATTATAATTATTTCAGAAAAATAGACGATTCATTTCGTTTAATTTATTTCTAACAGTTATTGGAAAATATCCGAAAACAAAACACCTCTATTGATGCACTTGATAAATAGAACTATTTATAACTAGACTTATATGTGCTTTATTTCAATTAAGCTATGCCAAAATTTAGAGAATTTTTTTTTTTTGCTAAAGAATAAATATTTTGAAACTTTTGTCACAAAGTTTCGAAAGAGAGGATAACATGAATAATGTGTTAAATTGCTGCAAAGAAGGAAGAAATATATATTTATTTACAGGGATACATGAACTATTTGACCCTAATGAAACCATTAAACAAGAAATATGTCAATGTATTATTATGCCATAAGTTATAAGTATGAATCAAAAGATTCAATTTATAGCTACAATATAAAGAACCGTGATACCAATAATTACATTAAAGTACAAACAATAAAATGTGTAGGGCAAAACATCAGGATGGGTGAATATCGCACCATCAGAAAAATCTTCAATCTAACAGGCACTTGAGGAAATACCAGACGAAATTTGAGATGGTTTGGAAACGATCTACCGGTATTACTTTCGAACACTTTTTAGGTAGAAAAAAAATCTGAGGAATACACCCAGTCCGGATTGTCAAGGAAGAAGAAATATTTTCTGCACAGAGCCACTTTTCATTTCAAAAAATTTTACACAGCTCATAGATTGACATGATTTACAATAAAGATTCCACAAACCAACAATTTAGCCATCTCTGATATTTATAGAATCATTGCACAAATAAGCTTAATCAGTTGAATTAAATATATGTAACTTAAATAAAAAATGCAACTTGCAAATTTTAATAAATAATACAACCTGTACAAATGAAATTGAAAATAAGAAAAAATACCTTATAATTTCCAGGAGTAGGAGCATTGTAATCAACAGAATAAGTACCATCCTCATTGTCTAAAATCTGAATCGGAACTAGACCACCTTTTTCATCTGTTAATTTGACTTGCACATTGCCTAAGAAATTATGAAAATAATTTAAGGCATCATGAACAACAACAAAAAAAAATTATGCTTTTCACAAATTTATGAAAATATCCACACTAGCCTTCTTCACCTTTTCTCCTATTTGATATCTCAAATGCTAATAATGAGAACTGTTTAAAAAGAAGAATGAAAAATTTTCTTTGATTTTGCATAATAATTCTTCCTTTGTGATCTATTCAAAAAATTTAAACAAAATATTTCAAAAACATAAATCACTTTTAAAAAAGCAGTTGATAGTATTCTAAAAAATTTTATTTGCAAACATTATTAGATTTCTCTCATTTCCAACAAAAAAAAATTTCCATCGATATCCTGTAGGTAGATTCTTATTCTCTAATTCTGACTTATCTGAGAAAATTTCCAAATTAAAAGATTATCTAAACATATGCAAGATTGCAAAGATATTCTCATCATTGAAAAATGTTAAGAAAGGACATTGATGAATCAATTCACTTTACCTGTACCAGCACCACGGCAGTCAATGTTGAAATGTGTTGGAACTTGAGCCTTCACACCCGGTTCAACTCCAGGCCCAAATACTTTCACTTTATTGCTGTCCGTTGGCTCACCAACATTTATCTACAGTAACAAATAAAATGAAGTGAAAAAAAGAAAACTAATAAGGTATTTTTTTTAAATGGAAAACTTTAACAAATACTAAAATATATACCCTGAAAGGACTTTTTGGTATGGACACACCCCCGTAATTCACTTGCACTGTATGCTTGTCCTTTTTAGTTGGACGGTAAGAAGCCTTAAATGTGCCATCCTTATTGTCAACAACTTTGAGGTCAACTGGTTTAAGATCAACATCCAAAACACTTACATCCAATGGAGCATGTCCGCCCGCTTTTCTGCAGTCAATAGTAAAATCTGTAGGCTGATTTTGAACTACTCCAGTAGGTTGTATACCAGGGCCATATGCTTGTACCTAGATGAAACAGAAAACAATTTTGTAATATCCATGACCTTATAACACAAATATTCAAAAATAATTTAAAACTTTGACAAATAATTAATTGTAAGTGCTGCAATTGTTAGTTTATTGAGTAACTTGACTACACATAACGAAAAAAAATGTCTGACTCCGAGCCTTGTCTTTGCTTCCTTGACCTTATCAAATATTATAATCCAATTTTAACATTTTTTTTTCATCTTATTTAGGAAAATGATCATCAACTAAGTATTAGTTCATTTTTTGTACTTCTCCTAGAATGCCTATGTCAGGTCAGATATCAGAACCTCATTCACATTAAATGCTTAGTATCATAACTTCATTACAAATTTTAAGTAATTTAAACTAAAATATGAATTAGGAAATGTGTAAGACAAATACAATAAAATCGCACTCACAGCTGTTCAATATATAATAATTAAATATTGGCGATCACTTTTTTAAGTTTTACAGTTTAAAATATTGTACTTACAGTAAAAAATTGCATAACAATTATCATGGAAGAATGTCAATTAATCTTTAAAAACTTTTTAATGGAATTAACTAAATAAATGTTTACAAGCTCTTATTGACGTTATATTTTCACACTTCATACATTCATAATCATTCCATCTGTTGAAGTCATCTTTTATTTCTGACGGTATTAGGAGAAAAAGTAGATGCTGAGATATTTTTAGCTATATTCAAGACTTTAATTTCTTTAAACTAAACAGAAAATTGTTTAATGTTTAAAACAAAATTCATTGCTGAAGTAACGAAAAAAAATGCTCGTCAATCGTGGATAAGCATATTCTATTATTATAAAATGATACGAAAAAATAAAATTACATTTTCTGGATGATAATCCGTTTTGGGTAAAATTTGTGCCATGTAGGGTGATTTAGGAATATCTTCTTTATCGCAGAGTATATGAACAGCGTATTCACCAGGTTGAGTTGGCAAATACTCAACATCAGCAGAACCATCTCCGTTGTCAGAACATTGGATTTTAGCATGTGAAGGTCCTTCAACAACAAAACCTAGAAAGAAATATTAATTGCAAATATCAAGTTTTACTGGTAACTTAACATTAAATATCATACGTTTTATATCTTCTTCTTTCATGTGATCTAGAATAATATTAATTTCCTCAATATTAAAATAAGCTGTTACCTAACGTTCCAGTTTCTCCATTAGTTTCAGCTGTGAATCGGGCAGGATAACCAGCAACACCTCCATATAAACCTGGACCATATACTCTAATTTTTGATTCCTTATAAGGTAAAACATTCACTTCGTATGGGCTCTTGGAAATCTCCATACCACCATATGCTATTGTAACAATATAACGTCCTTCTTGATTAGGATAATACGCACATTCATATGTATGCTCATCAACCTTGCGAATATCAATTTTTTCTTGAACACCACCTAATAATTAATAGCCAGAAAATATTTAATAAAGAAAAGCAAAATTACTTTGACTTAAAAGAAATTTATATTAAAGCAGGTTGGTGCAAAAAATTAAAAGTTTTCATAATGTTAAAACATTATATCAGTTAAATTTACCAGACTGAAGTAAAATATCAGGGAACACAAGAATTAGTAAAAAGTAAATCATAATTAATGTAATATATTTTAAATTCATAAGAACTCATTTCAATAATAAATATCATTAAGGGAAAATTTAGAATGTTGAATAAAACTATTTAAACCTGGTCCAATCACTTTAATATCTAACTGTCCATTTCCCGCATTCTCTGTAAAGACTTTAAAATCAGCAACATCCTTCACTCGAATACCATTCTTCTGCAATCCTCTACCAGTTGCTTTCACTTTTCGTGCATCACAAACTAACAAAAAACGGTTCATATTATGTATTACATAATAATTAACAAATCATAATAAATAAATTAAATATATAGGTGTAACGAATATCAGAGAGGCAAACTGCTCCGTATACGAGAAAATATTTTTAAAAACGGTAGAGAACTACAAAACAAAATTTAAAGATTTTTGGTTAATTTCGCCAAGTTTTTAAACAGCTGAACTGTAACAAAATGGCACATCACATAAAGAATTATTTAGAAGTAATGAGTAAAAAACCCTATAAATCGAAATTACTAAAGCGAAAATCATGTTTAAAATTGACTACCACTCAAAAATATTTATCCGCTGTCTAGAATTAAGTTGCCGTCTCTGATGGAATATTACAGTTTTCAAAATTTTCTTTCACTTGTAGTACCTATTTTAGAAAAACATAAATTTCAGATACAGAAATCTCCGAGGAAAGTTGGGAATAACGTGATTTTTTTTTATATGCTTAATTAAACTTCTGCAAGTTTTTTTAAATTTTAAAATAAAAGGTTCTTTAAATATGTAACTGTAGAGCAAATATGAAAATAATATAATATGAACAATGTGAATGTATTGTAATGTGAATGTATAGTAATCTGAATAACAAAAATAATAAATTCTACTGTGTATAAGTAGATTTTATCGTGGAAGGAAAATAAAAAGGAAATAAGCAGAGTTGAGCAGCTAAAAATTTCTTTATACTATATATACTATATAAGGAATCGATTGTGAGTAAGCTGGGGAAAAAAAACTTTAGAAACAGTGTTCCTTTATAAATTGAGTTTGAGGTCAATAATTAGAGGGCTGAAAAGACAACATGATAACATTTCCTTTTATTTAACAACTCTGCTATAATAATCATCTGTCTTTAAAGTTAGCAAAAAACAATAGATATTGTACAGAATAAAAAACTAAATGAGACCACCTAAATAAATGAAATTTTTCAATTAAAGCCATATTACCTGGAGTTACTTTGACTCCAAACGGACTCTTCGGAATTTGTTGGCCAGCAAAGAAAACATTTACGGAATGCATTCCGGTTGTTTGAGCAACATATTCACAACGATATACATTATCTTCGGTTTTGCGTATTCTGCAAGGTACTGTGTTCCTGTTACCCTTTGGATCTAGTATAATTACTTCTACCTGACCACGTCCAGCATCTAAAATAATTAAAACAATTAATATTATATTTCCTCATACATAAATATAATTGTCTTTAAGAAGACTGCTTTTAACCATAATAACAATTCATATAACTTGTATTTAAACTAACCTTTAGTAAAAATGTCAAAGTAAGTAGGCTTTCCAGCCATTACACCCACAGGCTCTAAACCAGGTCCAGATGCAGTAACCTTAGCAGGATCCCCAGCACGACCTTCAACCATAACTGAGAATGGACTTTTAGGAACTTCTTTTCCAGCAAATAAAACTTTCACCTAATACATAACAAAAATGTGTCACTTACTTTCGTTCAGTATGATTTCTAACTTTTTATAAAATTATTCTCACTTTATGTTGTCCTTCCATTTGAGCAGTATATTTTACAGTGTAAGTTTTACTTCTGTCATCATTAAACTTTATTTCTACCTAAAAGAAAATAATAAGAAAAAAGCTTATTTTCTATAAAATACATAAATTGAATTACATTTGAAATGCACTCCTGCACTAAAAAATTTCAAACATTTCCTCAAATCCTCAAAAATTTCGATACTGGTTTCAGTATAGCTTTTACGCAATACTAACTGATATGCCCTTGCCATTTAATTTTTTTTTTAAAGTAAAGAAAAAGCTTTGACAAAGAAGAACCTATTGAATGAGATTTTAGTGGTATGGAGCAACCAATGTATAGAAATTACCTGTAGGTTAATTGCAAGGCATTTACTTTTATCGAAAAGAAATTTATTAAAAACTTAGCAAAATAAATTATTATTCTATGCACTCAATGATGCAATCAAATATAATAAGTCACTTAACATACAAATAAAAATTAGCTAGTAGGCCAATTATTCTATGACTTTTTTCTCAGTGGCTGACTGTTTTGTGTTGCAAACTATTGAAGGTTGAAGAATCACCTTCCATTAGCATTTACTAAATAGGAGGTTCGAGATTCTATCCCCATTTTCTATGCATTCACCGAATATCTTTAAGTAGTTAAAATACAAAAATCATACTTTGTCGTAGAACAAGTGATGCTTCACTCTTTTTTTATTAAAATTTGCCTGATACCCACATTAAATCTGAATACAAACATAATATTGCTAAAAAACGTACTTTTTATTATTACAATAAATACTAATTAAATTTCAAATAAGTTGTGAATGCTATAAAAAAACTACACATTCAATTTCAATACAATTTACAATACAATAAGAAATTAAAAAAGAAATGAAGTTGCTATAGCATTTTCTTCACAAAAATATTTTAGTATAGATTATGTTCCAAATTATAATTTCTATTAAAGAGTTTTTAGTGATCAACATATTCAGGATCAATAACTTTAACTTTCTGCAATTTCATCTGATTGACAAGAAGTTGTTACTTTAAATTGAAATTTTAATCTGAATTTTTTTTAAATAAAAAATAAATCAGATTAAATTAGCAATTGTGTAAAACAAATCAAGTTTTCTTTTCCTTCTTAAATTGAAAGTAAACAAACATTTTAGAATGTTAATAGAATCTTACAGGTTCAAGCTTTCCTCCCTTTGGAGTTTCAATAAAAACTTGCACATCTCCTTTTCCGGCACTGAAAGTTTCAACAGTAAACATGGTTGGTGCCCCAACATTTACTCCAGTGGGTTCAATTCCAGGACCATAGCACCTAACTCTGTTTGAATTGGTTTTAGGTCTCAAGGGAGCACCAGGTTTAAGTTCAGCTTTAGGATATTGAGAAAGATAGGTCATCATCGACATATCATCTACATTAGGATTCACCATTTCCTCTGGTTTCACAAGCTGTAAGATTTTTTTTTAAAGTATTAACAAAAATAAAACATTAAGACATGTAATTGAAAAAAAACATTAGAAAATCACAATAATTTGGAAAACTTTATCCCTTCATTCAAACATTATGTTTAAATTTAAAATACACCTGTTCAGGACTAAACTTTTCAAAAGCTTTTTTCCAGCCCAGAAAAATGAAACATTCATAAAACTTGCATTTAGTTTCTGAACATTTATAATATTTAATTATTCTTAACCTCTTTCCAAAAACATTTTCACATTAAGCCATTAGCTTCTTAGACAAGGAAGTCAAATTTGCTTTTAAATTTTTCTTACATTGATAAATGAGTATTTATATTTTATACAGAAAACAAATTTACGTGTTTTAAAATTTCAACATTAGCAAATCCTTTTTTCTGATTTTTTAAAATTATTTTGAAGGAATTCTCATGGTTTTTGATAAAGTTATTTGCAGATCATCGCAAGTAAGCTAAAAGAACAACCTCCATTAAACAAAACCTTATTATCCTCAAAGAACAACTTCACTTTTGCAAATGTTTTTACTTTAACAACAAGAGCTGTTTTAATTTAATTTCCAAACTATAAGGTGAGAGTGACCTATTTTTAGAAAAATTTAAGTCACATTCAATTGTTTTTACGCAGAGTATTCTGTACTGATCTCCTTCAATATATATATATATCTCACTTTATGTTGTCCTTC